CAGCAGGAAACATTTTTATCTCACTACTTTAGTTTTGTACAAATAACATATAACTACCAGAAATAAAACGGGAAATACCTAGAAAAGCAAAAGTAAATACAAGGATCTGGCATCACCCAATGCAGAGCTGCCCACTGGCCCTCCTGGGGCCAGATCTTGGCCTCTGGACCCCACCTACTCTGAGGAGGCGGATCAGAGCATGGCCCATCCCAGAACTGGGATGTCCTGCACCAGACAGTAAGCAAAGAACGACAGGAGCATGTCACAAGGACACAGGAGCCAGCTCCAGGGCTCCCGCTGGCCAGATGGGGCCAATTTACATATGTCGAAATTAATGAAGTAAACAGTGACCTGCAGCACAGACCTGAGACTGCGAAAATAATAGTGTTATTGATCATGTTGATATGCTTTAAGTAACTCATCGTGTGGAAATAACACATCTCTAAAGATAAAAGGTATTTCAAAACAAATTAAAAAAAAAACAAGACTCCTTGTCTGACCACAAGGCCAGGCTCCACCCCATTTCCTCCTCGAGTGGCCCCCCTAAGTCACTCGGCTCACCTTCCAGTTTCCCTGTCCATCACGGGATGGTGGTGGCCCAGCCCCCCACAGCCTGGTGGGAAGATGCAGTTAGAGGCTCCATAAAGCTGCAGAGATCCTTAGTTCCCAGGGCGGAAATCCAACACACGACCCTCAGGAGAACCCAAACTCCTCGTATGGGAAGCCGGCTGACGGGCATCCCTGCCTCCCTGGGGGCTCAGCAGAGCTCCCAGCTCACCACATCGGCCCTGCCTCTATGCTGGCGTGGCCTCTCCTCTGCCGCCTTCCACACAAAGCAGGCAGCCCCCACGCACAGGCCAGCCTCAGCCCAGCCCGCTCCTGGCCACTTTCCATGCCCTGCTGCCAGCTGGAAACCCCTCCCTGTGTCCACCGAGCTGCACATGCTGCTGGCCACCGCCACCGCCCTCCCAGACCTACTTCTGACCCCAAGTCCTCAAGAGAACCCCACCTAGTACCCCATCCAACCAGCCAGCCTCCCAGAAGCCAGCTAGCACCTGGATCACCACCCAGCACAGCCCCTGACAAGGTCTGAGCATCCCCACACACACACACGCCTTCCCTGGTCTCTGCACCTGTGACACTCCCAACTGGCGTCACCCTCTACCTGCCTTTCCCGCACCCACCGTCCAACGACTGGGAAGGGTCACCCCTATTTGCATCAGTTAACTCATGCCCCTCTCCTGGGAGCTACCCCCTCATGTGACAGCTCACCACCTGCCCCAGTGAGCAAAGTCTCCCTTCCCCCAGGGTTGAGCCCGCCTTTCCGCCAGGTACCTGCAAGAGGCAGCTGCCGCCAGCACCGTTCTCCCCACTCCTGGGAGCACACGGGCGCTTGGCCCGCAGCCCCGGCTCTCCCGCACGGGAGCCCTCCGCCGTCCCTCCCCACTCCGGGGTCCCGGAGCTCGGTCTCGAGCGCCGCCCACGCCCGCCGAGCTCACCTAGCGGCAACAGCGAGTGGCACAGCAGCGTGGCGGCCGTGCGGCGCAGGTGGTAGGGCACGAAGGCGGCGTCCTCGCTGCCCAGCCAGCCCGACAGCAGGTTCTGCACCGTGAGCCCGGCCGAGTGGAACTCGGTGGGGGTGAACACGAAGCACACGGCGAACACCACGTAGGCCAGCGTGAAAGTGACCTCGGGGCTGTCCATCGTGCCGCCGTCGCCTCCGGGACGCCGTCCCGGCGAGACCCGCTGCCCCAGCGAGAACAGGCCGCGGCGTCCGGGTCCGGAAGACGCGGGGCACTCTGGGAAATGGAGTCCCCACCCTCAGGCCACTCGCGGGGCGCTCTGGGAGACGGCGTCCTGCGGGGCACTCTGGGAAATGAAGTTCCCGGTCCCCTCGCTCGGCCAGAAGTTGTGAACTGCCGCGACAGTCCTCGCGAGGGTTTGGATGCTCCTCAGCACCCGCCTTGGTGGCGGTGCTGCACTTGGCCGCACTGCACAGCTGGGGAAACTGAGACTCGGGCGAGCGGCTCTCAGGCCCTGAACTTTCCGCGCAGCCCAGGCGCGTCCGCAGCAGAGCCCGAGATTCCCGGGCGACGGCGGGCCCCGCAGTCACTGCCCGCCCGCGAACGGCCTTTCCTCCACGCTCTCCTGGCGAGCTGCGGTTACCGAGAATTCCGGCGACCGCCGCGCCCAGCGTGCCGTCACCCCGGAAGCGGAACCTCCTCGTGGGCGTTACCTGTGGTTCGATCTCCCATTGGCTGTCGGCACCCGTTCGTCCCGCCCAAGCCACGCGCTGATTGGCCGCGCGCGCCAACCGTCGGTATTTGAATCGGCGGCGGGCAGAGGGGCTCCCGGACTCCTCGCCTCTCGCTCCCCCGGTTCCGTGCGGCGGCCGACAGGTAAGGCGGCGGTGGGGTCCGGGCTCGGGGCTCCGGCCCCGCCTCTGGCCTGGCCTCGGGTCTCTGCCTGCCGTGCTGGCGGCCACCTTGGACGTGGGCCTACGCCCCCTCCGGCTCGTCCCGCGGCTCCGCCCTGCCCGCCATCTGGGCCCCTCCTCGGGGTCCTCTCTCGCCTGCCCTCGTCCCGCCCGCCCGGGCGCAAACGGAAGCGGAGCTGATGGGCTCCCCCTGCCTCCCGAGACGCCTGGTGGCTCCTATGTCGCCCTCCAGGAGGCCCCTCCGGCCCGCTGCGCCGGCCTCTCCTCTCCCTATCCCGGTGATCTCGTCCAGCCGCAAACCACCCGTGGCTGTGACCTGCAGAAACACGTCTCCGCCTCTGAATACCCGCGGGCTTGCAGCTCTGCGCCAAAGGCAGGCCTCCTAGTTCCGGCCCCTCCTCTGGGCGCAGCCCCACCTGAGAGCCTTCACCGACTCCTGCAGCACCTGACTCCTGACGCACCTGCTGTGGAAACCTGGGCTCCACGTTCCCCGCCCCGCTGATTCCTGAGAACCCGCTCGTCCCCGGCCACCAACCCTCCGCCCCGCCTGGCCCGGCTCCCTCTGCTCAGGAGCCCCCTCCGTGGCCCCATCATTATAGAAGCCAAACCCCTAAAGGCTGCTGTCATTGTTTTCCCACCTTCCCCAGGCGAAGGGGATCTTCCGGCAAGATGTCTCCCTTCTGTGTCCTCCAGCCATCCAGCCCCCTTCCCCGTTTTACCCCATTGCTCAGGCCAAACCTAATAGTGACCCTTGGCTTAGGCTTATCTTTCCCGCCTCCACACGGCCTGCCGAGCCAGGGCAGACCACTCCATCCTGGCGCGGTGCCAGAGCTCTGGCCGCCCCCTTCCGTGTGAGCCCTCCCTGTTCACACGCAGCGCCCTACCCCCGCGCCCTTCCAGGTGGCTTGTCACTCTGACCTCCCACGCTGAGCTCACCTCTTTTCAGGCCACCCTTTCTCTCCCTGCCCCAGCCACCTGGTCTCTTCCAGCCACAGTCCCCAGGGCCCCCACTGCCAGCAAAGACCTGTAGTGCCCCCGGGCAGGTCAATGCCCAGTGCTCTGGTGTCTCCGAAGTTGGGAACGCCACGGTGTTGACCATTATGAGGGCTTCGGAAGGAGGAATGGGATTGTTCTAGAACCTCCTGGGCCCCACTGGAGGCCCCGGTGCAGAAGCTCCTCGACTCCCTCCAAGTGACTCTGCACCTGCTGCTTGTTACTTCCTCTCGCTCCTCCTCTGAGCCTCGGCCCTCCTGACGCTCTAGTCCAGTCCCTGTTTCCCAGCCCCGTGGTGGAGAGAAAGCTGCTGTGCCCTTCTGCTTTATTTTTTTTTAATTCTCTTTTTTCTTCCTCCTCTTTTTTTTTTTTTTTTTTTTTTGAAATAGCATCTTATTGCATTACTTTTTCATTTATTTACCTTGGCTGTGCCAGGTCTTAGTTGCGGCATGCGGGCTCCTTAGTTGCGGTATGCGGGCTCCTTAATTGCAGCATGCAAACTCTTAGTTGCGGCTTGCATGCGGGATCTAGTCCCCTGACCAGGTATCGAACCCAGGCCCCCTGCATTGGGAGCGCAGAGTCTTACCCTCTGGAAGCCCCCCCTCCTTTTGTTTTCCACTAACTTGGCAGCTGCTCCACCTCTGATGCTGAGGCCTGTGGGGAGGCCCAGGCTTCCTCTGCCCCTTGCAGTTTTGCCACAGATCAGCCCTTATCTGTCTCCCAACTTTTACCCACAAAGTTCGAGTTATTTCGAGCACTTGGGTCTTCCTTCTTGCCCTGTGGGCTGAAAGCCCCTCTAGCTCTTGCTCATGGGAGGTGGCAGCTCCCCCAGAGCAGGATGGGGACTGCCTGGCAGAGGACACACTGCCTGAGGTGTGACCCACCTGTGCAGGAAGGCGGACGTCCTCCTTGCAGCACTGTGGGGTCAGCTGTCACTTTCACATATGTGCGTCCAGACAATGCGGTGTCACTGCCCTACTCCTGACACAAAACTGTCTGCTTTTCAGAATGAGTCTGCACATCTTCAGTGACGAAAACGTCACTGGTGACAAAAATACAGAAAACTGCGACTTCCTGTTTTCACCACTGGAACTTACCGGAAGATCATCTGTTCTCCGTCTGTCACAGAAAGAAAACGTACCACCTAAGAGCACAGCCAAAGCTATGAAGGTAAGCACGTCTTGCCTCTGCGTACTATCTACCGTGTGTCACACATGAGGTCACCTGCTTTCCTGGTGACTTACTGAGCTGGCAGGGCAGGGCATGGTGCTGCCAGCATGGTGCTTGAAGACTTGAATTATTGAACAGGTGCCCTCCTCCCTCCCCGACAGGTTACTTTTCAGACACCTCTGCGGGATCCACAGACACACAGGATTTTAAGTCCCAGCACGGGCAGCAAGCTTGAAGCTTGTTTTGCTCAGGGCGACACCATTGGATTAGAAAACTGTCATCAAGTCTGGACGCAGAAAGAGAAGTAAGTATTGGCACTGTTTGATGTACTGCAATTTGTAACCTCTCCTATGGACTTGGCAGGAGAAGTCTGTTTCACCCACCACATCCAGTTGGGCTCCTCCTGGTCTCCGCTCTGGGTCTGTGTAGTGTGCGGCCCAGAGCACCGCCAAAGTCGTTTGTTGTTGGAAAAGTGAATAATAAAACAGGAAGTTTAAACTTCACATTCTGTTCCTCTGTTGTGCTCTTGCCAACAAATTGGCCTTGGTTTTGTTTCTCTAACTTCATGAAATGTCCTGGCCAAATCTCCAAGGACGGACGCTCTGTGGTTTTGCTTCTTTTTTTTTTTTTTTTTTTTTTTTTTTTTTTTTTTTTTGTTTTACCGG